ACAACTGTATCTGGGACTATTTACCAGGATAGTGCGTTGTGACCAAACAAGTGTATGCTTATCAGTTGTTTCAAGTGCGGTCGAATACCATAACTGGTTGAATTAACCTGGATCGTGGCCAAAGAAATTCAAGTGAAACTTTAATTTCTATGTGGTTATAGGTGCGCTGTGTGTCATAACAAAGAAACGCATTGGCAGTCACAATATTTGTCCACTTAACTATAACAAAAGGAACTTTCAACCAACCAGAAATACAAAGCCGTGCGGTACTTACAGGATGGTAAAGCATAAACGTCCTCCTACTCACCGTCACCGCTGGTTTATTGGGTTGTTCGACGAGTGCGGTGAAGAACCTCACTTTGAGACATCACTGCGACTCGATCCCATGAGCGACTCGAAGCATCTTGTTAACTCCGTTTGCCATGGGTTACTGGTAGAGCGAGTCCTACAGATGACAATTGTTGAGTTTCCTTTAACGGCTACTTCCTTCTGTGTGTGTGTGTGTGTGTGTGTGTGTGTGTGTGTAACAAACGTGATCAAACATAATTTGTTGTGATGAGAGACAGGATACCATCCGGTAACACGGTGGTGGACGCGGTAGCGAATTTTTGTTCTCAAGTATGCTTCCGGGGGATCATTAGATATCCCAAGCTAAGGATATGGCTTGAAACTAATCCTGAGATGATTTATAACTGTGTCCAGCCACCTTCCATTTGTATGTCACTCCCTTGAAGTTATCGGTCTTACTTTCATGGGCGATTCCTCCCGAGTGTATAGCGTTAAGAGTGGTATGCTACTGGGGCGAAGTAAACCAGTGTGTATCTCAAGGTTTAATGGACTTCAAAAGCGAAACATGTAACGAATGATATCTTGGTGGTAATACTGGTACAAACAGAAGTTGGCCGTCGCCCTCCCTAGGGCCCACCCACAGCAAATAAGCACCCCTTTCATCGTGGTTCACTAGAGATGACACAAACTATATGCATGTCTCGTGCTACTTGTAATTTACGTCCCATACTTTGGTATTCGGTTAGGCTAAGTTAGCATAATCAGAATGGAGATACACGTTTCTTTGAACCCTCGACCACTAGGACCATGTTTGTCAGGTGTGTAGACGTTACTGCATCTGTGACTGTCAAAAGTGCAATGCTGTACCAATTCTAACCCCTTTGGAGTACTCACTTAAGTCTGGCTTGGTCGACATGTCAACAGGTAGCCCTACGACTGCATATAATTCAGTTAGCTAGCATCTCTAGTGGGATCGCCTGTGATATCTACGAACCGCGCGGAGGTAAGTTGTCATTTCACTCCAGTAGTCAAATGAAGAATGACCGATGATGGAGTTCCATTTCTGAAGTGGACTGCAACACCAGTTCTCATCGCATGTAGATGAAACTTAGTGCAGTCTTGGGACTGCTAATCCATGCACCTGATTTGAGCGAACCGTTATGCATATTTTGCACTTTCAGTAATCAGAGGAAGGCATAACTCCCCATTTGACGCCTCAAAGCCCGATTCGATTGCTGATAATATCTCGTCGGATGCGTGTGTGCCACAGTACAAATTATGACTGTCTTAACGACCTGTACCAATGATTTATTTGAATCAGCTTTTCATGTGCGATAAACAGCCTACATTGTGCGCGACGAACGCAAGCGTGAGAACCGAGTTTTCCTTAAAACAAATGAAAACCGTCATGCATCCTCACTTCAGACTAGTGCCTTGCTATTATTCAACCATGGGAGCAGTAACAAACTATGAATCCAAGTGGTGAGAGATGGGGACAACGTAGTGTAAGTGGAGGAAACCGTAGCAGAAATGGAAGCAGAAGATAAAGTGGAGGAGTCCTCAATTGCTTTGATGTGTGCTTCGTGGCAGTTGCTTTGGATAGACCACGTTTGGCGCGCCAATCAGGAGTGCACGCGGACTGGGACGCTACTATGACGCCCAGCCCCCGGTACAAGTGCGATTACAGTACTCATCAAAAAAGCTTAACCCATAAAGCTGGTTACAATATGGAGGATATACGACAACGGTCAGAGCGATGTGTCTTTGAGACTGAGACTGAGACTGTATTTAAGAGCAAGTAGAAAGGTTTCTGTACATCTCTATCGAATTACGAAAAATCAAAGTTTACTTGTGAATTATCAGCAGTTGTGTCTGATCTGTTAATCGTTTATCCTTGTTCGGGTAGAAATTTGTACTAGTGTCATTATTTCCGGGCATACAATGTGTTCTTTTGGCACTGTATGTGCATCGTCTCACAAAAGCACAGATTTCCAAAACAATCGTCGATACGGGTTTTAAAACACTTCACAGAATCGGCCTCTTTTAATCCTTCAGGTAGTGTATTCCATAAGTTTACGATTCTTCGTTCGATACGAAGCTGATGTGATACTTTGTTCATGCTGGGGACCCTGAGATTTTAACGATGTCCTCGGGTGTTACAGGGTTCCCGCAGGTGAAATATTGGCCGCAGTATGGGGAAGTGATTCAAGTGTAGTACCTGATGGGTCATAATAAGGTCAATTTTTACTCGGCGATAGGATAGCTAGCAGAGTCCGAGCCTTTCACGTTTTTCATACGGAAGCTTTCGTAGACTTGGTATCATTCTAGTTGCGATATGCTGTATTTTCTCCAGTTTTTCAGTTTCCCATTGGGTTATCGGATGGTAAGCTGGGGCACCGTATTCAAGGATTGGTCTAATGAGCGAGGTGAATAGACGAGGGACGGTTTCTTCGGACCATGTGGAGAAACTGCGTCTTAATGCCCAGAGCATACGAAGTCCAGCACGGTACAATTTCTCTGTATTTTCTAGTGATCTTAAATCATGTCGTGAAGGAACTCCTAAGTCTCTGACAGATGTGTTGGGATGGAGCAACTGGCCGTCCAAGATGTATGATCGAGTGGCTGGACGTCTGGTGATACTGATGAACTCCGACTTGCTTGAGTTAAGATGGAGTTGCCTTTCAGTGGACCACGTTGACAGTCGCTCTAAGTCATGCTGGAGGTGAGCGCAGTCGTCCTGGTTCTCAATGATCCTCCAGATTTTCAAATCATCTGCAAACAGGGCACATGGTGACTGGATCTGCTGCGGAAGATCGTTGGTATGAATAAGAAATAATACTGGCCCAAGTACAGTTCCTTGAGGCACGCCACTAGTCGATGGGAACCAGTCTGTCAGATAGTCATTGACCTGTACGCTAAACCTTCGTCCCACAATAAACTCTTGTAACCACTGAAGTAACGTGCCACCGATTCCGTATGTCCTCAATTTACGAAGGTGTACCTCGTGGTTCACTCTGTCAAACGCCTTACTAAAGTCGATGTAGACCACGTCAACATCCTTCGGTTCATTGAGAGCTCGAACCCACTGGTGCTTTGCGTACATCAAGTTGGTGATGCAGGATCGCCGTTCCGTAAAGCCGTGTTGCACTGCCGTCAATACGTCCATCGATTCGAAGAACGACAGTAGACACTTTTTTCACAACCTTCTCGAGAACTTTGGATAATACCGAAGTCAAACAGATCGGTCTGTAGTTCTCTATTTTACTCGGATCACCACCCTTGGGAAGCGGTTTCACTATCGAGCATTTCCAGTCGTTCGGGACGGATCCTTCAGAGAGTGATTTATTGAAAAGTTTTGTCACAGCTGGTGAGATGATAATCGCTAGGGACTTGAGTATTAGTGGGTGAAGTCCGTCTGGTCCGGGGGGCTTTGCACCATCGAGGTTGACGAGTAGCTGATGTACTTCGACTGCATCACATTGTAGGCTGTCGAGAAAGACTTGCGCAATCTGTGCCGGTACTGAAACCGCCGCCGGTTTACTGGAAAATACAGTGAGGAAGTGCGTAGCCAAGGCGTCCGCGCGCTCCGCGCTTGAAATGAGTGTCTTCCCGTCTAAGCTTTCTAAGACCGGTAGATCGTCCCCAGGTTTCAGTTGACGTTTCAAGTAGGCAAATATTCTTTGGGGTGCAGTTGTGGCCGAGGATGCTAGCTCCTCTTCGAACTTCCGGCGTTTCTTTATCTTTGCGGCGTTACGAAAGTTACGCTGTTTCTTGTACACCGTGTAATCTTCATCACAACCAGAGCTGATGTATCTATCCCAAAATTTGCGACGTCGTCGCGCTAACTGTCTATATTCCCATCAAACCAATGCGGTTTGACAGGTCCAATTTTTGAATACTTAAGGGGAACGAACCGAGTACAGAGGGAGTTAAGCTTCCCCTTTATTAATGACCACCAGACCTCAAGTGACGCATCCTGTGGTAGTGTCCAATCAGTCTGACTTGCGGCTTTGACGAGTCCGTTGAAATCCGTCTTCTAATAGTTGAATGTCGGCTTCTGTTGATTGTAATATGGTAACGACAGTTCTAAGCTTGCCACAATGGAGCAGTGGTCACTATTAGCCAGAGGTTCGATGACTCTGATCTCGTTCAGCTTCTGCTCGCAGCTCGTAAACATTAGGTCCAGACAAGATGCCGAGTACAGAGTTACGCGCGTCGGTTGGATGACATGTTGCGTTGCCCCGATTTCAATAGTCATTTTAGCGAATTGAGCCTCAACGTTGCCATGACCGGGAAGAAGTCGAATATCTGGCCAAAATATCTTAAGTAAATTTAGATCCCCCATTAGTAAGAACTGAGGGCGGCACATGTGCTTCTGTACATGTGGTATCCAATGTCTTTTGTGAAGACATGTGTTAGGCCTACATTTCAAGTCACATTTTTGATGACCGGCCGACGGAATCGGTCTAACCAGGTTGGTAAGAGTAGTTCTCAAGGGATCTGGTGAGATCCATTCATTAAATTCACATGTATCGAGAAAGTGGACGAAAGCTTACATCCTGTTAATGTGCAGTTAAGCTACCCTACCAATCCTTTTAGCAGCGGAAATATTAAACTGATGGCCGTCTATAATAATAGTATAGCATTCCGATTGATGCTTTGCCTAAGGAATCATCCAATGGACTTAGCGGCTTCGCCCTTTCTTTCAGATAATGCTGCACACCAACAATATCTTCGAGCTATTTGGCATTCGGTGGGACGAAACGAAAAGTAAGTTTCAAAAGGTGTTTCTCTCTAGTTCAGCATAAGCAGTGGTGAAAATCTTATGACGCGACATAAAGAAATTGAATCCCCAAAATAAGCTTATTGCTAGACTTTTTCTAATGTGCCCCACTTGTTTAAATGAAGTACCTCATTATATGTAGTGTGAACACGCTTAGTGCACAGTCACAGTGAAATGTACGTATATCATCTCTCCGCTTTGACAAATCCAGCTAGTCCAATTTCTTAATCCCTTATTGCACTTTCTCCCAATCCTTTGAGTATTGTCCGTAGACAAAGGATCCACTGACACTCAAGTGGAAAATCCAACCAGAGGCTGTCTGTTGCTTCGTGGTCAAATGAAGTTTATGTCAGAATGGGACGCAATTGCATTTTTGGGAACTCCAACGTAAGTCAACTCTAGGGAGTGTGTGTAAAACTATTGCCCAGTACTGGGGATGAATTCACTGCACCTTAAAGCCAAAACAGCACATACAAGCGTTTGCCATGACTAGTTGACTAGCATTCCCTGCCCAGAAGCATTTTGTCTTACAAAATGACCGATCTACTTACATGTAAGATTGACATGCTGGTTCGTGCCTTTACCTGCGAGTAGTCTGCCTGCAACGCCAAACGGCGTATCAAAAAGGCAACGGTTACAAGTAGGATGTGCAGCTGCACTCAAGTGGTCAATTACTGTCTTTACCTGTCGATCACATTGGGATGTAACACTACCAAGGGGAAGAGAGAGAGCGTATTCCAACCATTCAACAAACAGTGAGTATACCACATCGGATTAAACTGGCTACAACATACGCAAAGCAAAATAAACTTCAAGCGGTCAGCATGCTTACTCTTTCAGAAGCACCAGTACCTTGACCTTAGACCCTGAAAGAAGGCACATACTGAGGTCAGCTTAGAAGACATAACCGTCGAAGGACCACCGAGCCGTGTCTTACTACTTGAATCGCGACCGCCGGTGCCCTGAACGCTAACCTTTCTAATGCCCACGGCAGCTGGCAAGTTTTCAACAGGTATCCGGCCTGGTTATCTCAGTTAGCCCAGTTTCAAGTTCGAGTTGTTTCAACCTAGGAAATGCTGTTCTTTGAGATAACGGAGGAGGAGGTTAGGCGTGAGCTTAAATGTACTCTCTAGCATGTTGAAGCACACTTATGCAAACCCCATACAAATTTGTCACAAATGAACGCAGGTAGCTGATTCAGTAGCTGAGATGTATTGTAAAATCGATGGTGCAAGCGTCTGCGTCAGTAGTGGCCGATTCCTGAAACCATCCATGTAGTAAGACCGACTTGGTAGCTACCATGGGTCCAAAAAGTACAGGGCTGACGCCAACGTATTTATTCAAGTCCGGGAATAGAAACAGTTTCCTCAGCGTGTCACCTGCAGAATGCCCACAAGTCTCTATAAATGGACTTCGACACTTCGTAGGTAACACTCAAGGTTCAGATATTTATTTGTGGTTTCATTTTGAAATTTGAGAGCTGTAAGTCGAAAACAAGGCTGTTGAGCTTAAGCGATCTATACTACTGGCTAGGTGCCAGTACGATCTGGTAGACTAATTATTTAAGTGGTTTCCTATGCTCCACTTCATAGCAAACTAAACACAGAAGAGAAACGGTAGAATTGTGACAGTTACCGCTGTAGAAGACACTCTCCGTTGTTCTCGCTTAGGAGTTACGCTGATGATAAAGTCATTTCATTTTAAGCCGAGCGCAAGACATTAAGCTTGTAATCCAGAAAGTTGTATTGAATCATGTTTATGTATAATTCAAGAGATTCAATAATATCGATGATGATCCCTACACCAGATAACCTGTTTAAATTCCTCTCTTTCAGCATGGAAAATGTGGATGCGATGTGGGACATTGGGCTATTTCTGAATGACTTAAGCATGCATGACTCCAGTCGGGACATGGTGCTTGCCGGAGAACAACAGGCTGCCGAACTTAAGTTGGCACTAGAACAGGTATGTCTCGAATCACATGAGTAGTCTTCCTTCCTTTGGGAAGTTGGCAAAACGGAAGCTTTTACCTTCAGCTAGGTAACACAGATACAAGAAGGATTATCATTTTAGGTTTGAAGAGGGAGTGCACTAAAATTTCATGACCGTAACACAACAATACGTGTAAATTCAGAGTGGTATAGCCATCGGTGCGCTGAAGATATATGGTGCCGAACTGAAATTCTGTTGCAAAGGCTAAGTGCATGGCGGAACAGCTCCGGCGACTCACTCTTAAGCTAAAAATGCTTATTATGTGAGGGAAACAGAAAAGATAGGATGGTTCAAACCAAGTACCAAGAACATATTGAATTCTGACTACGTATAGGACAGCGGAAGATCAAAAATAGGAGGTGGCAACAAAGTTAAAGGAGGCATGTGGCTTCAATCTGCCCAACATCTAACGATAGGGCTTACAAAGGGTAATGAAAAGAACGCAGACGCCGCAAAGTTAACAGGCCGCACCTTGGTCCATTTTATTGTTGCACCTGCTGGTTCATTCATTCGAAATCCGCCAACAGACAACATCTGGTGTGTGAAGGCACTAATGATACTTCGAGATAGTTTCCCAGTGTGACGAGGCATAGTTTGGCGGCGCTTAGAGCAGCGTTTTTGAAACATTTGGTATTTGGTCTCAATAAACTTATCGGCCCCTTCTGTCATGATACCAGTGGAACAATGATAGCACCTGACCCAACGTCAAACTTGACACCGCGAAATTTAAGTGCATCGTGAGCTTGTTTCGAGTATCATTTCTACTGTGTCGCTGCCGACAGTTTGTTCCCCAAGACTGCAATGAGATACGGAAGAGGAACCAGAACAGAATTCCATACACGAGAAATATGCTTCATTTAACTGGGGTACAATAGTAGTTGAGGTAAGGATACTAGAACACGTTGATTTCACACGTCAACGCAGGAGACGCTGAAGGACGCAGACGAATGGGAGACGATACCAGTCACATGGAATCACTCGGGCCAGCGAAAGCGATGTTAGCGGAAGCGGAGGCTAGAGATGAGATTCATAAAGAACCACGTATGATAGTCAAGCACAGTTTGGAAATGATGCTTTTAAACAAACGTCAAAGAATAAAGGGTAGCAAACAAAATCCGGTAACTAATAAAGGTATATATATATATATATATATATCAGGAAACAGCCAATTACTTAAAACGACAAGATCAAATAAAAGAAATCGAATAATGCATGCAGATATGCCGACATATATAGATATGATTTGGCAGCTTCCGTATCCGGATTTGCTTGTCACTGTGGCCTCCATGGGTCAGCCACAGGACGTCTACGCCCACAGACGGACCATGGGTTATTTACGCTGTACTATCCACAGTTCCACACACACACACACACACACACATGCACATGCACATCAATATCCATTGTAAACCCGAAAGCATAAGACCGGGAGACATGTGGATGGGAGCCACATTTCATCATCGGAGCCGGCGCACACTCCTTCAACAAGCAGAACAGAAGCATTCCGGCCTAATTGGGAAATCATGCACATCAGCCGTACACATGGCGGTGGCTGAAACGTAGCTCGTTCCATACAGAATAGAACTACTCCTTAAACCTATCACCATCCCGAGGAAGGTGCACCCCATCCTCTATAGCAACGACTAACTGTCTCCTAGAGCCAGTATGAACGACGTTGTGGGTAATAGACAGGTAGGCATATTGTCAACATGAACATCAAGCGCAGCCACATCGGGGATATCAAGCAAGATCCAATCACTTGAACCGACAACATCAAATTAAAGAAATCGAATAATGCATACAGATTTGCGGACATAACTCTTCACTAAATGAGCATATGAAATAACTTAGTTGCCACCAACTCGTGGTAAGTTCAAGACGTCAGAAAATCGATTTTAAGAAAATGCCACAAACGAGAAAATGTTATCGAAATTAACTAAAGTAGTTTAGGAGACGTGTGAAGTTTTATATAAGATAGTTCAGGTGAACAGTAACATGAGATCAAAATCATTAGGATAATATAGTAAACCCACCATCTGAAATAAAGAGACTCAGCAAGCAAGCACGCGGTTGGTAAACAGAATACAGCGTCCCTAAAAACGCTGCTCCGGTTCTGCCTACCTTCTCTGCAGCACACATCGTTTTTTCGTTGTTGGCATAAAATGGCCTCGCTCATGCCTCACTATGCCTGCCTGACACGCGATCACGCTCGCGACCGCATGTGCTACAGCACCATGCGCTCGATGTCGATGGAGTACAACCCATCGGCGCCTGTCGCTTCCGCAATTGCCGCTTCTTCTCTGCATGCATGAGGGCTTTCTCCTGCACCTCGGCAACTGCCTTCGTGATCAGATCGCGCCATGCACGCCGATCAACCGCCTTCGATTCCCATGACCTGCAATCAAGATTAGAACGTGTGAGGCTCACTTTGATCATGTCCTGGTAACGAAGCTTCGGTTTCCCTGCATGCCGCTTCCCACACTCAGCTGACCATATAATAGTTGTTTCGGTATCCGCGTCGAATCCATACGGCTCACATGACCGAGCCACCTCAGGTGTCTCAGCAAAAGTATGCAGTCCACTGCATACATTCCACTTCGGCGCAACACTTCCGTGTCCGCAACTCTGTCGCACCAACCGATGCGCAGAATCCGTCGTAGACACTGCTGATGGAACCGCTCGAAATATCGCACATTCCGCCTGCACCTCGTCCACGTTTCGCTGCCGTATAGAAGAACGGACAGCACCATGGATTTGTACACCATCAGCTTCGGGCCAACGGTAAGCTGATGATTGTTCCAAACTCGGTACTCAAGCTTCCCGAATGCCGCCGCTGCCTTCGATACACGGATACGAAGCTCACTGTGTAGCTGCTGATCAGTCGAAACCACAATCCCAAGGTAGCAGAGGCAGGAGGTGATAGCTAATATGCCATCAACATTGCTGATTAGCGGCAATATGGAAGATTGCACCTCTGGTAAAGGCTGAAAGACACAGACAGTTTTGCTTGTGTTGAAGATGGGCCCGAAGTTGGCCGCTGTCGAAGCCAGAGCACTAGTCATGTGCTGCAACTCATCCACGATATGCACAAACAACGCCAAGTCGTCAGCGAACAGCAACTTAAGGATACTTGTCTCACAGACTAGCTTTCTCGCACCGAAACGACGAACATTCAACAACCCACCAGCAATACGGTGCTCCACACGAACACCGTAAGTACAAACCACATCAAAGCACTAGACATAATGGCATGAAGATAAAGAGTAAACAGGGCAGGAGCTAAGACACAGCCTTGCTTCAGACCAGAGACAACTGCAAAGTCATCCGAGGTCTCTCCACTCAGCTGCACATTCGCTGGCATATCACTGTGCAGACATTCGATTAAACTTACAGACTTACTCGGACAACCAAACTTACCCAAGACCAGCCACAATGCCACGCGGTTCATCGTAGCAAATGCCTTGGTGAAATCAACAAAAATCCAGTACAATGGATGGTATGGTTCTCTGCACTTCTCCTGCAACTGCCGAGCCGCAAACACCATATCAATGGTGCTGCGACCCGAACGGAAACCACACTGTTCTTCCACCACGTTCGGTTCCACAACCTGAGTGACGGGACCGTTGAGTAGGATTTGGGAAGTTACCTTGCCCACACAACTCAGCAAGTTGATACCACGAAGATTCGTGTAAACACGCTTGCTCCCTTTGCCTTTGTACAGGGGTAGCACCAGGGCATCCTTCAACTCAGGAGGCACCTTCTCCTCAATCCACACGCGTTGCACCAAGTGGTGCAGCGCAGGCACCAACGCTGGTCCGCTGTGTTTCACTACTTCAGGCGTGATCCCGTCATTACTAGCACACTTGCTGTTTCGCAGCTGAGCAAGTGTTCTCTGCTTCTCATCCAGTGTCAGCGTGTCCACCAGACTCATCTACATATCGTGCTCACTGAGGCCGTATAATTAGGCTAGTCAATCTCTGAACGTTCTTCAAGAGACAGTCAAAGTGTTTTTGTCAGATCTGTACTATGTCTGCAGTCTATGTGCAGGTAGCACCTGAGCTACCAACAATCTGCCTCCTTAGCGGCACCAACCTCTGTCCATACACCGTCTTCAAGGAGTCAAAGAATTCTTTGTGTTGGCGACATTCGGCGTAGCATTCCATCTGACTCGCCTTCTCCGTCCAACATGCATCTTTAATCCAACGGAGCTCTCTGGGCAGTCGTCGTCGAAGTTGACCAAACTGACTCTCCTTCCCCAAGCAACTTGGGTCTGCCACATGTGCAGCAAATGCTGCATTCTTCTCCGACACAAAGGCCCCAATCGTCAGATTATTCGCATCAAAGTAATCAGGCCACTTGCAGTTTGCGTGCCCGATGGACTCCTCGGCAGCAGCTGTCACCTGGTCACGAATATGGTGTCACAGGTCGTCCACTGTGGCAATACATTTTACATCACACAGGCGCGTAGACATCGCCTTCTCCAGCTCAATACATGTCGCAACATTGCCGAGAGAGGGAATGTTAAATTTCCGCCGATTCACGGCAGGAATGCAATACATAGATTTACGAACATATATGTACAGTTTGGTCCGCACCATCTTGTGATCAGTGCCACACTCAACCCCACGCAGTACACGCGTCGTGCCCACTTCACACATGTCACGCTGACGTACGATGACATGGTCGAGCAGGTGAGCGTGACCACTCCGTGGGTGCGTCCAAGTTGCTATATCACTCGCACTCAGTGCAAGCTGAGTGTTCGTGATCGTCAGGCCTTGAGCGGCACACAGTGAGAGCAGCCTGTCACCGTTCGCATTTGCTGAACCAATGCCATGTGGACTGTTGACATCTGTCCACACCGAAACATTACGCTCAACGCGCGCGTTCATATCACCCAGCTGATATCGTTCGTCGCCCCTCTGCACAGACCGTATCACGGAGGATAGCTGAGTGTAGAGCTGATCACGCGTGTCATCAGGATAACCCGTGGTGTGACCTACGTCCTTGTATATATATATATATATATATATATCATGTCCAGGAGGTGTGCACCTACTGGCTCCTAACTAGGCCGGTATAATTGGTTATAGTTATGCTCCGTCTACTCTTTCGATACCGAGTTCATTACCTTTTGAAATGGACCAAACGTATTCATTAGCTAGCTAATACGTTTTCTCACGCCAAAATTTGACAGGAAAGTGTGAAAAGCAAACGACCAGAGAAAGTCTTAACGACGGATGAAGAAATGAGACAACGATAGAAACTTTTGTACAGAAGATACCCAAGCAGTATGCACAACGTTGCGTAAGGGTGAGCTGCATGACACAGTTGGAGGGTAAGTGATAATTGAGCATTGATGGCTGCAACAACGCAACGTACTATATGATGAATAATCACTACGAACACGTGTGCTTTGTTTCAAATTTCACAGTCCTTATTATACAGTAAGGGCTCTTCGGATTGGCGAAGTAAAATCAACGAAAAACGTGTAACAGACCAGTTTAACGAAGTCAGTTGAAGTCCAATTCATCATAGAAAATCTTCTCGGAATTTAATTGCATATACATTCTCGTTTCAGCAATGCTGAGATCACAGCTTCTTATGAAAACGGGAAACAATGCAGTAAGGACTAAGAATGCGGAAGAAAAAGATTAGTGACCACTCAATACACGAGGGTCAGCGTCTAAATGCCAGCGTACAACAATGAATCGGAATTACAGTACGCCGTGGAATGTAACTAATATACTACTCTCACAGATAGCCGCAGTGAGGCGCACATCGTAATGGTGCAAGTATTACCCCATCCTGAAAGGTTGCTTGGTGATAAAAAAGGCTTAACAATACCTGTTTAGCTAATGTGGAATGCGAACTCGTGATACCCAGTGGCGGAGCACCCTTGCTTGAACCTTGAAGTAACGCGAATTTCTGACCACCCAGTAACTTAAGATGAACGCCTAGGTTCAATATTTGCCCCCTTCAAAATCATCGTTACGGAAGTCCTAACAGCACATGTTACTGGTAAACGAGCTTCAGTTATGAGGCAGATAACGAGTGCGAAAACAATTCAAGCAACATGTAACAAAATTTTCACTTTTCAAATATCTGCACACGTTTTCAGTTAACGGGGTTCCAACACATGTTCTCTGGCAGAACAGGTACAACACAATGGACGTCTGTATCAATGTGAGAGGAAGCGATTTGGTTACATTTTGCTGTAGCTAAGTAGTTCTCTTTCAGGAAATGTTTTGCTTGCGCGCAAAGCATGCGGTCGATATGCTCAGAAATCTTACATTTGTACTTCAAATGCACTCCAACTATTAGAGTGCATGTGGATTTGAAGTCTCGAGGCGTGAGACTCAAGATTCTGGATGCTGAACTTTGGGTTGAAGATACGCTCTAGTTCCGAGTAAGTTGCTCCTCCTCGCTTAGTAGCATATGCTTAGGAGTCAATTCATTAACGCAAACTATGCTGGCAGGTAGTCTTCCCCAAATAAAAGTGATAAATTCCTGCAGATGACTGTGTTTTACACAACCATAGAACGCTTGCACTGCTTGATACGATAACGGGATAAAATGTTTCGAATCAAGCTTTTGCATAAAGTGACCGACAATCAACTGTGTCGATGACTGGTTTCACCATAGTTTGTGCTTTAGCACTCCCAATATGAAAGCCATACATCAAAATGCATTCCGCAATATCTGTTTGGTGAGAGCGTGGATGATCCCATTGCCTTGCAGAAATTTTTCAGCTAATCCATCCTTGGCTCTCGCCAACAGCGGGCTTAGTAATCTGGAAAAACACCAGACATCGACGTGTCGACCTTCTGAGCCTCGTCAGGGGTGCGCCTCCCAGCTGGACCTCTGGATGTCAGCAGCACCCATGGGTGACCCATGGCGAAGTGGCACTAGCTGCTAGCATCCAGGAGTCATGGAGGGTGGAACCCAGCTGAGGTCCGCTGGGAGGCGCACCCCTGACGAGATCCAGCAGGTGGAAACGCCGGGGTCTGGTGTTTTCCAGACTAGTCAAGCCTACAGTTTGCGTGTGGCAAGGATGAATTAGCTGAATTATCCCAAAATCCTCACTACTCAGCAGTAGTAGAAAGAAAACGGTTTCATTTGCAAAATGCCTGAGCAGTTGACGCAGCTCAGATTAATCACCCCTTGGTAGGTACTTTGCATGTAAACACTATTGGTTTTAAATTACATTTTCCTTTTAGGGGCTTTCGATAACATCACACTGCTCTTAGCGATGTGGTGGGCTTACACGGTTTTTTTTTTTGTTTTGTTTTTTTTTTATTCTGCTAGCGGCCTCTCACCCTGGAAGTTGTCAGTCCTACTAAACTCCCTCTACTCATGCTTCGATGCGCTTACCGAGAAGCACAAGGTGGGTATAAGGTAATTCAACTTATTCGGATGGAGTCCGCTCTCTCACATCACCTATTTTCTAAACCCGTGTACACACCGTTTACCTCTTAGTTCTGCGTTTAATTTGTACTGTATATTGTCGCTAACTACTATGGTGCTGAAACCAGTACTTTAATATTGTAACTTCGGTAGCTCCACCGAAAAAAGCTCGACCATGAAGGGTACTGGGACGTGCCTCAACCGCTACATCCCGCATCCACTAGTGGCAGATAGAGTTGC